TGGAACATTGGGACGAACGGAAAAGAAAAAATAAGATAATTATAGTGGGACAGAGGGAGTAATAATTAAGTGATAATAATAAATAAGAAAAATAAAAGTTGTGTAGTTTACGTTTGTGCAAGCAGAGATAGACAAGTGAAACTACAAATTCATTGTTTTTAAAGAAAAGTGACAAAAATTTTTGAACACACAAAAAAGAAAAAATAGACAAAGTTGAGTGGAACGGAGGGAGTAGCTATAAATTTGTTTAGACTAAATTCTCTAATGTTAATGCAACTCACTATGCCAATAAATAAAATTCTCCACTCAATTAAGTTTTTTCATGTAATTTAGTGTTGTCAATATATTCACCTAACAAAGTGTTTTAATTAAAAAACACGTGTTTATTATTGTACATCAAATTATTGTCAATTTTTTGCGAATAATAATAACAAAAAGCCAAAAAATTTGATATAATAATGAATAATTTAATTTTTTGTAGTTACTTCTGACCTGTTTTTTATTAGCGGGGAGGAGGTGGAGAGGTGCAGGGGGGAGGAGGGAAAATATAAAATTTATATGTTAATATTAGATGGTTGAGCGATGAAAAAGTCAACTTTTACTCGATAAAATATATATTACTCCATAATATTAGATGGTTGAGCCGTTCGTCCTCAATGACGAGCTTCCCCTTGCCCTTATCAAGTGATCCAGGGACGCGGGGGACCGTGTTGCTACGACCCATGGCAAGGGGATTAGTATAGACACCTGCAAGAAAGGGAAAGTACGGTTAGAGGCTTAGAGCTGCAAATACATAAAGTCCAAAAACCCGAGCTGCGAATGGGCATACATATCCCATCTTTCACCGTAAGGGAGGCAACAATGAGCATCCGGAGGTTTTGGGTACCGATGAAGGCAATACGTGTGGCATGGGCTTTCTATTCATCGGTCAGGGTTGGAGAGTCAAACTTGACCGAATAAGTTTTCCATCGATCTAAAAGGGGCATCGGAGAGCCAACCTCAACTAAAAAGAATCTCTTCTCCCAACCACCAGTGTGTGGAGCGTTGTTGGTAAAGAGAATTCTTCCTAGACGAGCGGTCAAACCTAGGTACCCCGTTCGCGTGAAGGGAGAAACACGAAAGAAATGGAGGAATAAGTCCATTGTGGGGACAACTCCCACACTATAACACCGAATTATGAAGCCAGCAATTAGGCGATAAGCAGCTGGTATGAGCTGAGCAGGGGCGATACAGAGCTGCCGGTAGAGTTCAACATGAAACGGATGGAGGGGGAAACCTAGGCCAGCCACCACCAAGTCCAAGTGGATGATCACATGGCGGGGCAGACGGGGCATTGGATGACAGATGAAGCGTGCATCCCAAACTCAAGGAGTGTGCAGAAGGTGGCTTATCATATTTACATCACAACGGAACAAACATTGGCGCTCACGCCAAATGCAGGTGAAATGAAGGGAATAACGAGGGGGTCTAGCGGGCATTCCCCGCTCGTAATATTCCACATCGTCCCTGGAGAGGCACCCACCATCCGCATGTTCGTCAAGTGATTGGATGTAGATGCTGAGCTGCCTCGGGCCTTACAGGTGAGCTCCATGGTATCAAGATTTATCGAAACAGAAGATCCCGAGCAGTCAAACATTCTAAAGAAAAGAATGATCCAAACATGAGGCTTACCGGAGAAAAAAGGCGGGGATAGAGAAAGAGAAAATCGGTAGAGTAATGACATGGAACTAAAGGCAAGTGTGGAATTTTTGGAGTTAGGGGTACTTATAAGTGAGACCGCCAGACCCACCCAATTAAAAGGTGGCACATGGCGTTCACTGACGGGCGGACCCCGCAGTTGAACGTGTCGCTTCGATTCCCGCATCAAGGTTGGGGGCCACAGAGGAGTCTTTCCCACCTTTCGCCCACGACAAACGTCGAACACAAGACCGAGAGCCACGTACCATGGGGGTAAGCGACGAGTGGCGACCCAGTCTTGTAAGAATCCGTCAAGGAATCTCTAGACGGGCGTCATAAAAATGTGGATACAACCACCAAGCTAGACGAATGGCTATGGCCCGCTCAATGAGCCCAATCACCAAGCTAAAGGTTCAAAGAATAAACACGAGGCATAAATGATGAACATCGCCCGATACTTTGCACATGATCAAATATAAAGAAAAACATGAACGCGTGTAAAAGACGAGTGTTGCCCGATACTTTGCACAAGATCAAGTATGAACAAAAACATGAACACATATACGAGAAATGGGTAACAGCGAGAAGTGTTTTTCATTCTTAGGTGCTACCGGTTGGAATATACAAAGAAGGGAACAAAGCGCATAGTATAATCATGGGAGGGGAGGGCTCTACTCCGTCTGTTTCTCCTCGACCTCCTCCTCCTCCTCAGATTCTTCATCTTCGGTCAATCGGTCGGGCTCTTCTCCCATGGCCCTAGCCTTGGCCTTAGCTTGATTCTAGGCCAGCTTGTCGGCAGTGTCCACCAAGAAGATGCCATCAATATGCTCGTCCATGGAGAACTGCTCGCCAAAGCCCTTGAGGAGGATTGACATTAGGGTCTCAACAACATCATAGTAGCCTTTTGCCGAGCGATCCGACCTGATATCAAGAAGGAACCAGTGGACGAGCAGAGTCCGCATTAGGACCCTGGTTCCATGCCCTAAGTGCTCCTTTTTTGTCACTCGGGATAGCTCATCCTCAAAAAGGTCGTCGACGACACCTCGAGCATACCACTGAGTGGCGGCCTCAAACATGGTCGTCTTCTCATAACAAGCGGGATCAGCACGCCAAGCAGGGGCAGTAGCAGCGGCCTTAGCATGGGTGGTAGCATCGGCGTTGGCATCAGCATTGGCCTCGACACTGGGACCAAGGTTGGGGTCAAGAGAGAATGATCCGCTCAGCGGTGGACACTTTCCCGAAAGCTGCCTTCGGAGCGGCCTAAAGATCCTTCTCACGCTGGGGAATCGCCTCCCGTTGATGTGACACTCCGAAAATTTAAACAAAATAAAAATATAACTATTTGACACTATTAATAATCTTAACTAGATAAAATTTTGGTTTAAAGTGTGACATTTTAAGAAATTCTAATTCGAAGCGCCGTATATGAATGTGTACAAATATGTATATATACAAGAGTTGACTTTTCAAACTATAATATGCATTAATACATACATATCCTACACCACGCCATATAAATTACACGTAGTACTTTGTTGTTATGCTTAATATATACTCCCTCTGTCCCATTGGACTTTGTCAACTTTCCTTTTTTGGTTATACCATAAAACTTTGCCACTTTCCTATTAAAGCAACTAATTTGTGGTTATGCACATTTCTCTCTCCTCTGCACAAATCTCAACCACACAGTTTTTACTATTCTTATTTCTCACCTACTTTGCACTTGACAAAGTCCACCGGGATGGAGGTAGTATATGAAGACCTATTCTATTTTTAATTTTTTTATTTTTTTTATTTTTGCCCTTCTATCTTATAACGCATGTATGTAATGGCAGAAACCCTAATTATTAGTCTCTAGAATCATCGGTTACGTATCCTAATATATATAAAAGTTCTAAGAGAGTTAGCATGTGCCTGTTTCCGTTGCTACAACTCTCACGTTTTAAACTTCCGTTTTCTTCCCTCGTTTGATTGCTCAGAGCATCTTCAATGCTAAAATGTTAACGGTGCATACGTGGCATGAGAGATAGCCAATGAAAAAACAATAAATAGAATATCTCTCTCCTTATTTGAAGGATCTTATATCATTTTGGTAAGTTTTTCTTCACAATGTCAAGCACAGTGTCTAGATTTAGACATTGTGGTTGACATTGCTGGGAACAACTTACCAAAAACACATAAGACCGTGGAAAGGCGGAGAGAGAAATGTCATAAAATCAATCTTTTGTGTCTATCTGTCTTATGACACATGTGCACCGTGCACATCGTAGGATTGAAGACGCTCTGACCCACTTGAAAACGGCCACTGTCAATTCGCCTAAGATGGGTCGATTTGGCGTTGTTGCTCGCTCCACCACAGAAACTCTGACCAACCATCTTTGTGTCGCTTCTCTGTCCCTTCGGTCACTGTTGGAGTGTTCGAATGGTGGGTGGTGGTGTTGGTACAGAGGTAGTGAGGAGTGAGGAGTCTTCCGCCAAGTCTAGCTAGGGTTGTGAGGAGGAAAGCAGCAACGCCGAACTCCGAACTCTGAGTCGCCCCGCCACCCGCCGCTAGAGGTCCGAAACCCAAACGCTTCACAGCCACCGCCGATATGTGAGTCTTTGACTTCTCTGTTGGTCTAAAATCGAGTCTTTAAAGACCTATCCACCTAAAGCTCTAAAGTGGCAGGCAAGCAGTAAAGGTTTTTTCTAATTTGTGAGTCTAAACACCAGGTATGCTCTTGGGGTGGCACAGAGAGGGGGGTTGACTAATTTGTGTCTACTCCATATCTGGGTTTTGGTTTTGCTGCTAGAGCTTTTAGTTTATTGAATTGCTCCTGGTTGATAATTTAGGTTTCTAATGCTTGTTTCTCTATTTGCAGACAAAAAGTTTAAACTACATGACTCCTTTGAGGCTCTAAAACTCAATTCGTGTGTACTCTATGGAAATGCTATTTAATGAAATAGGGGGTTTACTATTTTATATCTTTATGATTTAGAATTATATTATTTCCTTTCTATTAGTTATCAATATTTGATAGTCATTGTTTTATTCCTTTCTGTTATGCTAGGAGCAGTATGTTATGAACCATTCTCTTTCTGTAAATTCATGTACTATTTAAGACTATATAGAAATTTCTCTTGCATGACTCTGTTACAATAACACTCATGGTTGCATTCTAACTCTCCTTTTCTGGCATTGCACAGTTTAAATAGCATGTAGAAGAACAGAGCATTGTGGCTCATTTTTCTCTACTGTGTAGTGATAAAATGTTCATGACCTCGCTAATGTTTTGATTCTTTCAACCTGATGCCTTGGCATGATTTAACTTCATATATTGTTTTGTGCAGTTGAACAATTTCATATTGAACATCATTCCAATTTTTGTGATTGTGGTCTCGTTCGGGGTGTTCACTTTACTTGGTGGGAATCTAACACCTGCAAGGGCATTTACATCTCTATCTTTGTTTGCAGTGCTACGCTTTCTGCTTTTCATGCTTCCCAATATCATAACACAGGTTCTCTTATTTGAAATGCAACCAACCCAGTTTAATGTTTAATACCTATTTAGTGAAATTTCGGTTATTGGGTAGATTTCTCACTAGAGTTTCTGCTTGCCTGGTGATTCTAAAGGAGTTAACAGCTTGAGAGACCGTGTTCCAATAACTGATCACCTATACATCATATTCCATATAAAGTGAAAGTTGTTTGAAGGATTAGAGCAACATCATTAGTTATAAATATCTCATTGTTATCTTAAGCACCAGAAAAGAACTTTATTACTTTAATCACCTCTTATTCCTCTAAAGACTTCTTTGGTTTTAGGAACTATGGTGATTGAATGTGTAATCCGGTGTTATGAATAGCCGATGGTGGCAGAAAGCCAATAAACCGCTATGAAAATATAGTGGATATCATTGCGGTATATAGCGGGAGCATAACAGATTAGGTAAACATAAATGACATTTATAATTGTTAAATTTAAATAAACTGGATGTAAGAAGTAAAATACTAAGGTATATTTACTAATTTAAGCAACATAAAAAGATTTTAAAACTTAGAACTAAACATAGAATCATAACACATAACTTGTAAACCACCAAAGCTCAAAGTGTTCTTACATGGAAGACTTTATAAACTGAAAAATAAGCCAAAACATCTGCATGTTCAAAGTGTCCAAACATAATCTTCTCTGTATTCTTTGTCTTCAAGTGAAGCATACCTCTCTTCCTTTTCTCCTTCAGACTCATCAAAACCAAACACAGAAGAGGTGAGCCAAGAGAAGAGTAGACACGCAACAAATGATTGGATTTAAATAAAATACCAGTTTTTCTTAGTAATTTTCAGATTAAATAAAGTACAAATAAGTTTGTTTTTGAAATAAACTAGCTGATAGTGATAGCTGACAGTTTTTCTATTTGATAACATGTTAACCTGACGCAGGAGATAAAAACAATGGCCCTTAATACCAATAGTGTGGTTTTGTTGTCTTATTATGTCACGCCCGGACCTATCCGGACACGTCAACAACCCGCCGTACAATACGAATAGTCAACCACAGTCTAACACATCCATATTATACAAGGCGTCTCGAATATCATTCACACGTAAGTCATCCATAAACATACATAATAAGCAATTCAATACGCAGGTGAAAACATAGTTTAAAAACAAATGTCACACGGGGCAAACATGAGCACGCAGGCTCTATAGTGAAAATATCCATGAGCATGTTTTATAAATGTTCAAACAGAATGGAAGAAGCATGAACCAAGTCTTCACTCCAAGATGATCGCCCGAGCAAAGAGCACAGGTAGCAAGCGCTAGCCTCAACCTGAAATGGTGGTGGGACGCCCCCCGAAAGGGGGTCAGTACTCTATACGGCTATAAAGTACTGGTGTGAATGGCATCTAATAGATATACAAGAAGTATTTCAAACACAAGACCCTCAAATAGGGTGATAATATAATCTAGGCCGTAACCCCAAGTTACCCCTTTTCAAAATATACTTACTTTATATATAAAGTCAAGTAGTCGGCCCGTATGCCCAAGGTTTGTTTACAAAAACATCAACCCAATACCCTGTGACTACAAGTCACGACAATTCATAGGGTTCAACCCTAACACATATGTTTGCATTTCTAGAGTCCAACTCAAGTACATCACCATGCAAATCATATGACACAAGTTAATTACTACACCGTGCATTTCTTGAGTCCAACTCAAATACATCACCATGCACATCATAGGCTACAGCCTCATGTCTCCCATGCATTTCTTGAGTCCAACTCAAGTACATCACCATGCATGTCATCAATCACCACTCCTTGTCTACCCATGCACTTCTAGAGTCCAACTCAAGTACATCACTGTGCCATGACATAGACTCAATTCCTAAGCAAACCTATGTCTAGAATTGAAATATCAATAATATATTTTGGGACATCCTTACAGACTGACCAATCATGATCTTAGCATCATATTACATCAATTTAGTCACTTGAATCACAAGCAAGTACATCACTTACTATCAAATCCTTAGATTCAATTCCTTAACAAATACAAACGATCATTAACTAGTATTTCAATACTATTAAGATTATTCCTATCAATCATATATTCCATTTGTAAATCCCTACATATTTAGAGATATGTAGCAGCAACTTAATCATCCAATGTAATACATAAATAATCATTTATGTATCTACACAATTCACACATGTGTAAAAATGCCTATTTTACACAATAGTTCATTTAACTCCATTTTTTTCAATATGATTCCAAATCATTTCCAATTTCACTCCTTATCTAATATATCAATATTTCATAAAAAATCATTCATTATAGTCCATGAAAACATGATTTAGACATTTAGGTAATCTCATGTTTTACCTACAAGTTGTAAGCAACTAGATGTCGATCCTCACCTCAAATGAGCTTTAAATTGTTCCTTCTCAACTCAATGCTCAAGCTTCGACTAAGGGAGTTTGAGATTTGATTCCTTGTTTATAAATGAGTGTTAAACAGCCTCCTCAAGGTGCTAGATCAACTCCTAACCGAAGACACAAAAACAGTCCCTAGAACGGGTATTTTCCGGCGAATTCGTTCCCTAACCTTTCACGGTTTTGTCTAGGTTAGTATCTAACCTTTTCAACAATAAAGTAACATTATAATAACATTTTTATACACTTGAAATAGTGTAAAATAGCTCCTCAATCATTTATATGATTTAGTCAATAGAAAAGGAGAGTTTTGGGTTCAAACTTACTTTGAATACAAAAACGTAATCTACGAGGTATCATTTTCCTTCGATGTTTTGGAGGCCTTAAACTGCTCCGATTTATGCAAACCGAACCTATATGAATTCCGTATCTTGAGAGCTTTTTTGTCACCTAACAAGCCTTATTTGGATGAGTATAGTTCCATATACGAATCAAACAATGTGATGGACTTCAGCTGTGCGGCCAGCAGCGCTCTCCACCTCTCTTTTGTGATATGAGTTCTTATCCTTCTCTAAATGAGTGGGAGTGCGAATGGGGGGATTGTAGGAGCGTCTAAGACCCCTCAATAAGTTTAGATAAGGTGTGTGGAGTGTAATGAATTGGTATGATCTCCATGAGATGTTTTTAGACATGGGTGGGGTCTCACTTTTGATCTCTTTTGTCATGTGCAGCCCTCAAGTCTATTATGTCCACCCCCTCCCCCATTCTAACATCATTGTACTTATTTTTCAGGTGCTAGGAAGGTGTGGGGTGGTCTCCAAGTGACCCTAATTAATTTGGGGTCCAAAATATCCACCAATACTCCCAAAGATGGAAAGATGGGTCCTATTGTTTTACCTTTTGTCATAGGATGTCCTTTTGTACTCATTCTAATTTATATAGACCAAGTCAACTCCCTACATCATATTATTGATCTCCAATATGTGTAGGATCATCCCAATAATTTATATGATGTATAATTATAAAAGAAAACCATACCCCCATTATTTAGCTTAATAATGCCAAAGATGGGACCATAGGCATTTGTATTCTTCTCCAATCATTCTATCACTTATTTATGACATTACTATTCATATAGCTCGGCTACTAGCCGTGTGGGTTACCCTCCAGTGGGTCTAGGATGCTATTCTTGAATAATTGCTATTTTTAGCAGGTTAGGCCCAAAATAACATTTGGGATGCCCGACCGTTCTTACTTTGTATCGAGGGGTCATATATCTTTATTTAAGAATGTTGGGCCCCAATATCAATAAGATACCCAATTAATTATTTGGAAGTCCATTACTATTATACGAGCCCAAAGAGTAATATGATTAATCACCCGTTACGTAAGACTTTAATCGTTTTACAATTGTTTGATAATAGGGAAATTCAATACATAAGCTTTGAAATTTAATTTGAATTTCAAGGACGTTCAGGTGCGGTGTCACAAGTTCACCCCCCCTTAACATGAATTTCGTCCCCGAAATTCACAATGCTACTCGAATAGGAAAGCGTATTGCTCCCTCATCAAGCTTCCGTTTCCCAAGTCTCCTCTTCAACTCGGTCACTTTTCCAAAGGACTTTAACCATTGGAACTTCTTTACCCCTCAATTTCTTTACCCTTCTATCGGTGATCTTGGCCGATTGTACGGCGTAGTTCAAATCCTCACGTATTTCCACTGGCGGCTTTTCCAATACATGAGAGGGATTATGTACATACTTCTTCAGCATAGATACGTGGAACACATTGTGTATCTTCTCTAACTCTAGAGTCAACTGTAGACGATATGCTACGGCCCCAATTCTCTCCAGAATTCTGAACGGCCCTATGTAGCGTGGATTAAGCTTCCCTCGGCTTTTAATCGAATGATTCCTTTCCAAGGAGAAACTTTTAGGAGTACCTCATCATCGACCTTAAACTCTAAGGTTCTCCGACGCTTATCTGCATAACTCTCTTGTCTATCTTGAGCCGCTCTAAGTCTCTCTCGAATCAACTTCACCTTTGACTTGGTGATCTCAATCAACTCAGTACTCTCGAGTTTGGCCATGCCAACCTCGTCCCAGCATAACGGTGTACGACACCTCCTCCCATACAATGCTTCGTATGGAGGCATGTCGATACTTTCCTGATAACTGTTGTTATAGGCAAACTCCACAAGTGCTAAGTGATTGTCCCAACTCTCTTGGAACTCCAATGCACAAGCCCTCAACATATCTTCTAATATCTATATAACTCTTTCAGACTGCCCATCCATCTGTGAATGGAAAGTAGTACTGAACTTCAACCTCGTTCCCATAGACTCTTGAAATTTTGGCCAAAAACGTGACGTGAATCGTGGGTCTCTATCGGATATGATTGTCATCGGAACACCATGTAACCTCATGATCTCGTCCGTATACAATTTGGCTAACCTCTCGAGTGGGTAAGTGGTGTTGATAGGTAAAAAGTGTGCACTCTTCATGAGCCTATCAACAACAACCCAAACTGCGTCATAGTTCCTGATCATCCGTGGTAAGCCTACCACGAAATCCATAGTCACATCCTCCCTCTTCCATTCAGGGATGGAAAGTGTCTGCAATAAGCCCCCTGGGTGCTGATGTTCTGCCTTAACTTGCTGACAGGTAAGGCACCGACTAATGTACTCTGCTATTTCTCTTTTCATACCAGACCACCAGTAGCTTTCTTTCAAATCTTCGTGCCTCCCGGGTGCATAGCATACGCCGATGAGTGAGCCTCCTCCATAATGGACTTTCGGAGCTCATCATCCGATGGTACACACACTCAGTCACGAAATAATAGGAGACCATCGTCTCTCTCCCTGAAATCCTCAACCTGTTTCCGCTAGCATGCGTTCTCGGACCTTCTTGAGTTCGTCATCTAGTTCATGTCCCTTCTTGACCTCATCAAGTAAGGTAGGTCTCACCTCAAATCTCACCACTAAGGCGCCATTAGTAGATACTTCCTATTGAGCTCTCAATGCTCTCAATTAAGTTGGTTATCAATGCCCCCGATGAACTCTTCCGACTAAGGGCATTAGCCACAACATTTGCTTTTCCTGGATGGTAATCAATCACTAGGTGGTAGTCCTTTATTAACTCCATCCACCGTCGTTGTCTCATGTTTAACTCTTTCTGAGTAAACACATACTTCAAACTCTTGTGGTCAGTGTACATGTGACACGTCTCTCCGTAGACATAATGCCTCCATTTCGTTAGTGAAAAAACCACTGCACCCAATTATAAGTCATGAGTAGGATAATTTACCTCGTGTTTCTTCAACTGTCGTGAAGCGTAGGCAATCACCCTCCCATTCTGCATCAATACACATCCAAGCCCTTGGATGCTCGCATCGCTATAGACATCGTACCCTATACCTTGTTCTGGTAAGGCGAGTACCGGTGCCTCAGTTAACCTCTTCTTCAGTTCCAAGAATCCCTTCTCACATCGGTCATCCCATATGAACTTAGCCTCCTTTCGAGTGAGCTTCGTCAATGGTGATGTCAAAACAGAGAACTTTTCCACGAACTTCCCATAGTAACCTGCCAATCCAAGGAAACTACGAGTTTCCTTCACGTTCTTTGGCCTCTCTCATTCGGTAATGGCCTCAATCTTCTTGTTGTCAACTGCAATTCCCGATCCCGAAACCACATGCCCGAGAAAGCCAATCTCCCTTATCCAAAATTCACACTTGGAAAATTTAGCATAGAGTTGTTTCTCCCGTAGTGTCTCAAGAACAAGTATTAAGTGTTCCTCATGCTCTTCTTCACTCTTTGAGTAAATCAATGTGTCATCTATGAACACAATTACAAACCGATCCAAGTATTATGAAATACTCGATTCATCAAGTCCATGAATGCCGTCGGGGCATTTGTTAGCCCAAACGACATGACTAGGAACTCAAAGTGACCATACCTTGTGCGGGAAGCACTCTTCGGTATGTCATCCTCCTTTATCTTCAATTGATGGTATCCCGACCTCAAGTCAATCTTCCAAAACACTGTTGCTCCTCGGAGCTGATCAAACAAGTCATCAATTCTAGGTAAAGGATACATATTCTTGATCGTGACCTTATTCAGTTGACGATAGTCACTCCGGTGACTGACATCTCCTTCTCTCCCTCAATTTGGGGCGACAGTTTCCGATGACATACTTTCTGAGATTGTTGGGGAAAATATCGCCACCTCCTTCTAGTTGTCCGGTTCCGTCCGTACACACATAGCATTCCGGAAAAATGATTCTTCCTTTTTCTCTGATAATTTGCAGCTACATGAAGACTCCACCAGGCTCATGTCTGGTTGTCCTCTTTTCTTCTTGCATAGCAGTTTGTTTGAAAATAACAACAAATAACATGGATCAAGACGCGTAAACACTGTCCTCAGAAAGTATTTCCAGCAGACGGAAATCATTCCCCAGGATATAATGAGCCCTTCGGTGAGTCGCCGGACACAGAACTACGAGGAAGAAAATGTTTTTGTAATCCAACGGTTTTGGAAGAACATAATACGGCAGTATACCACTCCATGGTGGCGTAAGAGACTTATATATATACATAAAACATTTTAACTAACGATGGTTTATGGGAGAAGGTACATGTAAAGATTTGTCTTTGAGAATGGGTCAATTGTGATGTTCATGCATCACTAACTCTCCTGAATTAAGATAGTAGCTTGGCATTTAAAAAGAAAATTAATACTCTTAGGGATCCTATTTTAAGGGAGAAAATAATGGACAATCAAGTAACGTGCCAATCAGAAAGAATTCAATTGTCACTTTAGCTCCATGCGGTTAAACAAAAGAATAAATAGCCTTTCGGTTATATTAGCGTGTAACGCCCCTCTCAGGGTTAAAGGAAACGTTAGATTAGCATACTACTTTTAAAAATAAACTGCAATATAACGGCCTTTTGTTTAAGGAATAACCCTAATAAAATCTCAAATATAACTAAAATATAACTCCAACTAAAAACTCAATAAAATCTAGTTATCACCAGCAAATGTGATAACCACCTGGATCCAGGAATTTACTAAAACTTCAAATCCTCAAATAAAATAGAGTAACAATAATCACTTTATTATAACATCTGAAATACTTAAATAAAATAATAACTAGCTAGAAGCTGCCAAGGTCGTTCCCGTTAACTCATTTCGGCACACGTTCCACTCTCTCATCATCTTCATAGGCCTTGGCCTTACCTTTAGTATCTGTACATGCGGAGAAAAAAAAACTGATAAGCTTTACGCTTAGTAAGTCACTATGGATCCACAAAAATATCTGAGAAGTCTATGCTAATTTATCAATAGATAACTTTAGGTCATAAGCATGCACTAAACAAACAACTAACAAATAGCTTCTTAAATAAATTCTGAGAGATATCCCAAACGAAAATATTTTCTAAAATAATTTCTCAAAACTACTGGAGAGATCTCAAAATTTATTTCTCATAACATCTCTGTAATACTTTCTGAAAGAGATCTCAAAAGGATCTCATAAACTTTCTATGGGCCCGTGATATGTACTCAAAGGTGCCAATCCGACAGCTCACGGGAGCGACCCACTAAACATATCGGACTCTCTGAAACTGATAAACTGATAATCTGAGGGAACTTGTTCCTGAGTACATATCACCCGATCTTTCACTTTAAATATTAGTTCTTTTTATGGTGACGTTTTGAATAAAAAAATTATTAAATCGGGAAACAAAAGTACTGTCAAAATCTTACCTATGCCAGATAATAAGCATAACTTAATACAACAGTTAAAATAACTCATCAATTAGTTCACCAAGTTCACATAATAGCAAATAGTCTAAAATCATCTATTAAAATCAACCAGACTTCTTTCATTTGGTTGAACAAACATGTACGGGTGGTAGTGAACTTACTTGATAGAAGCTGAACTCAAATTACTCAAATAAGGGTGGCACCTTGATAGCGTCTTCCGGTAAGCTCTTCTTTAAATCTTTAGTTGAATGTAATAATCTAATTAGCACTTGTTAACCTTTAAGAAAACTGCACAATGACTAATTTTGTTCCACTCTAAGTTGTTCTTTAAACAAAAATGAAGGGTCTGCATAAACAATTTTGAAGGAATACTA